GGAGATGAAACTTTGGGTTTTGTGTTGAATGAAGAAGACAAAACCCAAAGGTATGATCAAAGTCAGGTAAACCCAAAGGTTTTGTGCTGGTTTGGTTAAGGTAGGATCCAACCAAAACTAACAGAACCCCACACTCACATTATTATTCATCAATGTGATAAGTAAAAATGAAAGAAGAATGTACTGTGTTACCCAAAGACCAAATGTCTGACTTTGATCCGTAAGGTATGTCAGCAAGAAGCTCAGGGCAAATGTAACTTGGAGTCCCAACAACCTATAAACACGCTTACTTTTCATAACTGTGTTTTCTAAACGAAGACAAGAAAGTGTCATTGTTCACAACTTACAGAGGATGTAAGGTCAACAGAAGTGAGAATCTTAGCGAGGCTGAGACCAAAATGCGGATGAGTTAATAGCTCTCAAAAGGGCAAAGACAAGTCAATCTACAAAATTATCAAGCCGTATGTCTTGCTCTTTTGTCAAGAATATATTAGAACACTGAAAAAAGTAAATGCGAATGAGACTTGGATGCTTCAGACAAGAAAGGAACATAGCTCTGGAAGTTAACAGGTTTGATCTTTACCTTGACATCGCAGTGAAGAATGTGGTTGGCGTGCAGATAATCGAGTGCCATTAGGAGTTGAACAAGCCATTGACAGAGTTTCTGCATTTGATGGTTATTTGTCAATTTTTTTAAAGCCAGTCCACTGATTGTAAGAGGTTAAGACTTAACAACGAAAAGATGGCTGATACAAACCTCTTCAGGAAAATGAACACCACATGCTCTTTTTATGGTTTCTGTCCTGCAAAATTGAAGTTGAGTATAAGAGCATCTGTGATTTAAAATGGGTGAAAACTCGTTTTACATTTCTCCGCCTTCACAATATCCAATAACGATGCACACATAGCAACCCTGGAAACAAGATAAATGATGAGTAGCAGATAAAGGAGTTTACAGAGGCAAAGAAGAAGAGAGAGTGAGACCTTTTCGACCCATGAATCTTTGTACTCGACGACAAATGGATTGTGGACAGTAGAAATGAGCTCCATCTGAAACATCAATGGAGGTCCAAACTCAGCATCTTAATCCTAAGATCAAACATGGAACAGAAGAAGACAGACATAACCCACAAACCTCCTGATGAGCAAGACGAATCTTTTTCAATACATATCTATAGAAACCCACCAAAGCAGGAGATGAATACAATCACTACAGGGAAGACAAAGAGAGGTAGAGAGAGCAGAGAAAGACACATACTTTTTTCGTTCTTGTTTGTGTCTGACAAGAAGAGCAGAGCCCAAAGGAACCTTTCCCAATCTGCTCCAAAACTTCATACCGCTCGATTGACACTTACTTGAAATTTCACCACCAAAAAAAATCTTCATACAAATAAACACCATAAGAGAATAAAAACCAAAAGCTCTTAGTAGATGATGAAATGAGAGAGATTGAAGCACACAAATTAAAAAAGTTCACATCAATCAGCTACAGAAAACTTGCTGGAAATCAAAAACGTCGTGCACCAAATTAAGTTTATAAACAAACCGAGTGTAGCTTTCAACAAAGATTTATGATTCCTATCATCAAATCGTAATCATAAAAGGCGAAAAAGTGGTAAACAGCTCCCGTAATCATGTAATTACCAAATTATATATTATTTTTCTAGAGTTCTTGGAGCTTCAATCGAACCGACATAGATGAGGAGGGAATCAAATTACACTATTATTTTTCCTATACATAAAATCAAATGAAAACTTTATCAAAAAGAAGCATTATCATTTTCTAAAGAGCAAAAGTTGAGAGAGAGAAAGAGAGCGATGAAGAAGAAGAACCTGACGACGATTCGTGGGAGAGCGAGCGGCAAAAGAACAGTTTCTTCTACGATTCTCCTTTTAAAAATTTCAAATTTTATGTATTCTTTGGAATAATTCGATGAATTTCGATTTTGAGAGATAGAGAAGAAAAAAGAGAAATC